GCTGTTGTTTACTTTGGCTATCAACTTTGGTAGGTCCTTTAGACTAGTGGGCTCTCTCTGCTTCGAATATCAACTTTGTTAGGCCCTTTAGATCAGTGGGCTGTCGTCCACTTTGACTATCAACTTTGGTAGGTACTTCAGACCAGTGGGCTGTTGTTTACTTTGGCTATCAACTTTGGTAGGTCCTTTAGACTAGTGGGCTCTCTCTGCTTCGAATATCAACCTTGTTAGTCCCTTTAGACCAGTGGGCTGCCATCCACTTTGACTATCAACCTTGGTAGGTCCTTTAGACCAATGGACTTCATCCGCTTTGACTATCAACCTTGGTAGGTCCTTTAGACCAGTGGACTGCCGTCCCTTTGACTATCAACCTTGGTGGGTCCTTTAGACCAATGGGCTCCATCCGCTTTGACTATCAACCTTGGTAGACCCCTTCTCCTCTGGTCTTCTACTGACTGTCAAGGTGGAGACCCGGCAGGAAGTAACCAGCCTTCTGGAGAAAGGGGCGGCACACCTAGTGGAGAACCCCCATTTAGATTCAGGGTTCTATTCCCATATCATACCTCGTTTCTAAGAGTTCAGGGGGTTGGCGTTATGGCACAACCGAGATAGGGACATGTTAGAGGAGCATTAGCGATTAACGCAAACGCTCTTCCACGAGTTGGACTTTTTAATAAATATTCTCAAGTCCAACCCCATACCATCCCACAACCTAGTTTTTCTGGGTATGCTGTTTGACACAGAGCAAGGGCTTGTCTGCCCCTCTCAGGCGTGGTGTGACTTGTGGAGCTCGCCAGCCAACTCCTGTCGACAGGATAGGCTTCTATATATATGTACTGATGTGCCTTATTGGCAGTATAACTTCAGTTCGTTGTCTAGTTCCGTCAGCAGCTCTCCTGTTTCGTCAGATTCAGAGGTGCTTACCAGACTGCAATGCTTACATGCGGAACCTGACGTTCAGGGTTCAAGCCCTGGCAGCCCTCCCTTAGTGGAAGGACGCCCGGAACTTGAAAAAGGGAGTGCCCCTAGATTCGACGGCTCCTTTGCTGACTCTCATTATGGATGCGTTGCTTCAAGGGTGGGGTAGCCATCTGATGGATCTTCAAGTCCCACGTATGCAGGCCGCCACATCAATTGGTTGGAGTTGCAGACCATCCTACTGTCTCTGAAAGGTCGCACTGATGGCGCCCAATTGGCCTATGAAGGTCTGGTCCCCAATGTTGCTTAACCTTCTAGTCGAGTCCCAGGGGGAGTTGCCAGGTCTTCTGAATCTGTTGTCCGATGAGCCCCGTGTTATTCCATCTCCACACATGGAGGCTGTTGATAAACTCATGCAAGTGCAAGTTGTCCAAGGACCTCGCTTTGGCACAGTTTGATGGCACCAGATGTTTGTACGAGTCCAGATGGAGACTCTACATCGATTGGTGTAACGAAAGGGAGATTGATCATCCCCGTCCCTCTATTAGTGAGTTATCCGAATTTTTATCTTGTATTTATTTGATCAGGGACTCACAAGTTGTTTTGACGAGTGTGGCATGATCCTGAACCTTTCGTCATCCCAAGCCTGACTAACATGTCATGTCTGAGCTCTGAGTTGGCACTTCAATCGCACAAAGGTGTCTCGGGCAGTGAGGAGCCATGTTTGTTTGTTATGGGTGGGGCAAGCAAGACCCCTCTTGCTTCAAATATCACGGTGGATTGTTGATACGGTCGTGGAAGCGTACACTTTAATGGCTTCTTCAGTGACTAGTTTGGAACAACACCAGGTGAGGGCACACGGAAAAGTGTGCGAGGTAGCCAACTCCTTGGCTTCATGTCTCCCTTGAACAAGTGCTTCGAGCGGGGTTCTGGGGATCTCAGAATGTCTTCATTAACTACTACCTGAGAGACCTCCAACATATGGAGGGCGGTCTCTATAGGTTGGGACCAGTGGTGATGGCTCAGACAGTGTTCATGAACCCAGCCCAAACCACCAAGGACCCCATGCGCAAAAGCATTAGTAAGTTAGTAGTTTAGTAAGCCTCCCTATATTGGGGGGTCTACTCTCAAGGAACCCGGTCCCTGAAGAGTCATTTGATTGGTTAAATCCCAGAAAAAGACTCCTTGTTAGCAAGTAGTTTTGGATTTCTTTAAGTTTTTTGACCATTTCTGCCTTTTTATGTTAACAATTTTTCATTTCAGCCATCGGAGCTTTCCCACCTCCGGTGAGCGTGCTACTCTGCCTAACGAGTAATAAATACAATTTATTATTTTCACGAATTTTCTGGTAGGTATGATTATGTAAACAAACGGTTTGTACAACCCTTGTAACCTGTCATATCGCTTTCCAATGAGCAAACTGAGGATAAGCAATACAGATTCTATTCTATTCACCCATGGTCAGGTATGGGGAGAAACTACACAAGTCCGTGCATATAAAAATACAAATAATTTAACAACTACCAATCTACATTTTAGGCCTTGATTTTAAAGTTTGCAGTTAAATGTAATGTAAATCAAATGTAGGAATGTTGCATGATACAAACATACCACTTCAGTCCCCGGTAGACCCAGGAATAAACGAAACACATTATTATACGCAACACGGAGATCATTAATACTTTTGCGATTATGATGAAACCAAAGCTGTGAACAATACATGTTAGGGTTCGTAACAATGTAATTTTAAGATAAGTAGAAGTAGAATCCCTTAACGGACTGTAAACAACTGAGTATAGTACCAAACAATTAAAATACGAATAACATAACCAGATAGACCCCTGTCAATCAATTTTCTAAACAGGAACAGGGACCAGTGGTTGACACAGTCAAATCTATTGGTGTCATCTAAAAAGCATGTTAATAACGCCTTTTATAGCATAAATACACGTATCCATGGAGTGTCCAGGCTTAAACCCAAATTGAGCGTCAATGGGGCATTATGACTTTGATTAAGATAATAGTTTCGCAGAATTTTGACTGCGGATCAACTGGCTCGGAAGCCATGCTCGAGTTGAATCAAAGTTAAATCTGACCCCTCGGAAGGGTTCGGCCATTCTGATTTCTTTGTTGTTAAATTATTGATAAATGACTACTTATTCCTAGGATCAAAACGTCAGCGCTCATGTATCTTTTACCGCCATTTTGGATTTTAAAAATAAAACAAATGTTAAACAATTTTGAAAAAAACTACCATTTATTTGTTAGTTGTATATATATTCAAAGTTTTGTAGTTTACAGCACATCATGCATCATTAATGGACAAGGGGGGACGCACATTCTAGTCTAGAACGATCTGGTTGCAATAACAAATACTGGAATGAAAGTTAAAATGTCCTTTGGTGGATGTAAGAGGCGAAACACGTTAGAATTTACCTGTAATTTATAGATAAGTATCAATGAGTTTCAGGTCACCACAAGTGTAGACAATTGCTGCCAAGACAGATCGAATCAACAAGATTTTAATTTTGACAATATGATTGATATTGTTGTACGGGCGCATTTATCTGATATGATCTTATAATTAATAACAGTATGTATATTAGTTATAGTATATCTGACAATGTAGACATTTACTGTCGCATACGACTTATTTACCACTTCCGTGTTACTGAGAATGTTCTAGAACCGTACTGTGTCTGGATGGAATATTCTAGATTTTTTTTAGAAACTGGTTGAATAGGTAATAGAACACTGAAGGAGGCAATAGAAGGTAATGGAACATTCTAGAAATTTGTAGTAAGTTCCAGACTCATTATGTATGCTGATGTAATGGTCTATTTATAGACAGTGGGGGTATATATAGGGGAGTTGTTCAGTACTGAGATCAGATCGGAGATCTCGTTGAATTGTATTGGAGTTTAAGTATCTAGTTATTGGAGTAGTGGAGTTTTAACGCGTTATTGTACTTGATGTTTACAGAGTATAATAATACCAGTACCAGTTGAAACCTCATCTGTTGGCTCCGTGTTCGCATGTTATCATCGCCGCCAGGGAAGTCTTTCTGTTACTGTTGCCATTTTGGTATTTGAACCATCACACCTGTACTATACCAATTACGGTAATATTACGTTGCGTGTGACATTTACGAACCACTTATAATATAAATAACTTGCATGTAACCTGTAATGCTGTAAATATACAGCAATTCATTTAGTTATACAATGCCAGTTGTTATAGTAATATAGTGGTACAATTATCTTCCGCTATCACTAGGGTGCATTGTTAATACAATGGAATATATTTCACTTAGTTGTATACCTTGTATACAGTCACAATGCATTCAACCCTTATAGTGATGAATGTAATCCACATTATCCACATTATACAATCACTCGGATCTATGTAGTCTGAATGTTATAGTTCTGCACTTGTATATACCAGACCTAAAGTCGCTGGTCTGTTTGTTGCAAGTCTTTAGTCTAATACCCACACTTTTCAGTGAATGTTTCGTACTCATACCATCGGCAATCAGTTACATTGCCAGTGCACATCACTGAGCTTTTGTTGATTTGTGTGTATTGTACCTTTTGTCATTTGCTCATGAATAATTTATTGCATGCGATTTGACATTGAAATTACCCTTCTAATACCCGTGTTTCCCAAAACTCAATCGAGAATCGCAATAGTTCAGCCAATAAAAACTGTACTTGCCGCGGTGAATGTTGTGGGTTCCAACCCTTTCTTGACCACTTAAGGAAAAGCTATATCTTCTTGTTAATTACATTACTGCATATGAATATCAGATATAACGCCACACTTTTAATCAGAGTCTTTTCAAGCGTGTGCATCATGAGAGTGGTGCACGTGGTGTTTCCATTAATAAACGAGCAGCCAGATCAATGGGGCACATGACCAAAAGTATAATAATAAATAA